AAGGGAAGGGAAGGGAAGGGAAGGGAAAGAAAAAATATTTTGTATGAAGGAAGGAGAGGAATAATCCTCATAAGAGTTCCATTGCTGAGGCAGAACTGCACATTAGAGGGCAAAAGAAATCATTCGCAAAGATTTAGGAATGGAATTTCACTTCATTGTTACTGTTTCTGCAATGTACATGAACAGATTTAGAAATGTCCAGGCTGCTTGAGACATGATTGTATTTGTGAACTTTTTTGACAAATGTCTTTTCCCATAGGAATAATCAATTTGTTTTTAGTTGCTTTGTGGTAGAAAGGTGCTTCTCTCTTTTCTATTGAGGATAAAAGCAGTAATATATATTATGCTATTATGCACAGTATTAAAATCTTAAGAAAGTAAAGTCCCTACTACCAATGATTTGTTATTAAATATAAAGAATGCTATGTAGATAGAAGAGCAGATGGGAGAGAGCATAGTCTAAGAGTGACACAAATGGGAAAAAATGTTACGAGAATGGATCTTTTACACATTTGTAGGCAAATAATTGTTATACAGAACAAAAGTATATAACCAGATTTTATATGCACTCTGTATAAACCACGTGACTTTATTCTCTCCCGTGCTGTAGACACACAGTATGAATTTTGAATATATCAAAAGTAAGTGCTCTTTTAAATTGGCTTTTTACAATTATAAAGGTACACTTAAGTTTCTCCACATGTGTTAATTAATACAATTTCTTTCTGAGGTTTCCTTCCAAAACATTTATGTACATGCTGTGAAAATTCAAGCTTTTAAATGTTGATAAGTTTTTAAAAATCTGCTCTGTATTTATTTCCCACATTTGTCCTCCCCAGCTCTGTTTAAATAACTGTCACTTTGACAATTTGTCTGTGTCAGCATCTTGCTCATTCGTCACTGTAAACATATCTACATAAGCATATCTGGGATCAGGGCCTGATCTATTTGCTGGCATGACTGGATTATGTTTGGCTTAATTCCAAGTTGTCTCTGGAAAATGATACTTGTTTCTCAAGAGTTATTTCTATTTTGTCCATGGTATGAACAAGGCATCAAAAGCCTGTATGAGCCAGACTCTCATGCAATGTAAGAAAAAACAGAAGGGCTATGTGCCCTTCATGAGAGGCAGATATAATCAGAGGCTTTCTGTGGGCTCACCTGGGATTTTTATTTGCCTAACAGAGTACAGCATTCAATTTTGAGGACTGAGCTAGGGAAATTGGAGAGTCACCTTTATTCCAGCACAGTCCCAATAGTTTCTGAAGTTGATTGTCTCAAAACCACCCCAAACAGTCTTGAGCTTATCATACTGATTTAATTTTCTCTTAGTGCTCATATCCATTTTCCTTCTCCATGCTCTTTACATCATGCAAAGGCATAGGAGAAGGATAGTACTAGAAAAAAATTCATAGAGCTGTAAAACACTTAGTTCTTGATACGAGAACAGCTTCCTCAGTATTTATAGGTGTAATATACATCTCCCAGTGGCCTCAGAAACAGAAGCATAGCAGGGCAGGAGGCAATGTGACATTGAATTCTCTCATACATTATATGAAAAAGGAAGCACCTGTGACTATGCTCTTTTTTCTATTAAAAACAAACAAACAAACAAACAAAACAAAACAAAACATAAATGCTACAAAAGACTTCATTCATTCCAGAAATAGCCTTTTCTCTTAGTCTTAAGCTTGGGTGGCTCAATCTTTCTAAGACTGCAAAAAGTGATATTTTTTTTTTTTTTAATAATATCTCCTTTTGGAAACAGTGTATACAACTTCCTATGGCGATGAGATGTATTTAAGCAGACTTCTTTATATTCACCAAGGAGATGGAGAGCTGATCCCATAAGTAGTGGGTGAATTCTGCTGATCACCTTGTTCAAAGTTAGTATTTCTCTAAAAAAGGATTGACATCTACTAATGAAGTAGTTTAATTTAAAAGAGAATTGTAGAAATCGCTATGCTAGGGCAGAATAGATATTTATCTGTTACCCTCGCCATGGTTGTCAAAAATAGATGCATTTCCACATTTCCGTTGAGTATCAGTAGTAATGGGGAAATACAAACAGCTCATTTTTCATCATGAGAACTGACAGTTAGACCATTTGGACAAAATCCAAATTCAAAATCCAAAACCAGAAGAAACTGATCTCTCGCAGGAATCTGATGTGTGTACCTGATATAACCTTTGCCTAAATCCTTGCACTTTATTCAGAGCCCTGGGCCACTGTCCTCTCACTTATCTGGGATTCTCCCTTTGCATCTTCTCTGGAGGAAACCAGCAGCCCATCAACACTCTTCACGCCTTTTACTCAGTGTTCCACATGGCTGCTCCACAAACTGCATCTCTGCTTATTGTTGGAGGGAGCTGTGACTGAATATTACCATGCTTATTTTCATATGTCTCTTTACAGGAAATGTCTCCTTCTTATCACTGTTAACCTCAGGAAATTATCCTTCAGTCACTACTGCTTCTATTTTGTGAAAGCAGGAAGCATTTTGATAAGCATGAATCCGACTGAGCTTTGCATTTCACATAAAGTGTTCTAGAATTTCAAATGGAGAGCAACGACAAGATCCGATGAAATATAGACGTAGCAATACCCCAGGGCAGAAGAGACATGCTAAGAATATGTGATATATAAGCTTGCATGATCTTTAAACTGTCTGATTTTTCTGTGACATATCAGTGAGTTGCTAACTTTTCAGCACAGAGCTCATAACTGAGAGGCAGTCAAATACGATAAAGACATGGGACTTTCTTTAAATAAGACTTGTAAAAACACCATTAATATTTTTTGAAAATGAAATTAATTGTTTTCCCAGACTCATTCCAATAAACATAATATATGTATAGCAGAATGATATGTCATATTCACAGATTTTGCTCCCCAGAATGGATAAAATGTATTTATCCTACTGGGTGTCTTGATTATGAGTGCCAGAATGATACCAATAAAATCAGCATTAGAATACCAATATTTAATGAATTCTGTAAGACTCAAATATTTATCTTTTCAAACAGAAAATTTTAATTCTGTGTAGAAATGAAAGATGTCTATCTTTGCTGATTAATGTGATATCAGATATGTGTATAAGCAGAATGGGTATTGAATAGAGTTTAACCCCAGTGCTACAGAAGTCTTAAGAGGCATTGAAATTTCTGGATATGTTGAGGAAACACATCAAATCCAGTTTTGAAAATGGAGACAAGGTTCAGAAGAGCCTGAGCACACAAAAAGGCTTTATCTCCACACAACTTTTGTGACATTCGTATTTGTCAGACTGCCTACATTTACCTCCTCACTTCTGGGATATTAAGAGGCCACAAAAGTATTGATATTTCATCCCATAAAGCTCTCTGATAGAAGAGCATAAGAAGTTCCTGTGATACATGACACAAGGGTTCTAGTTTGTATTTTTGAAATACTACAGGTTTGGATGTATGAATGTGTTTTTTAAAAGAAGTCCCACTTTCTTGTAGTTTTCCATCTTTCTGTTGTGTCTCTTCACTTTCTGACATGAAATTGCCCCATTCATAACTATTTTTCTGGTGGCAGAGAGTCCCAATTTAGCTAGGCTGGAACAGTTTTCACAGTTTAGTCTGGTCAGAAACTTAAGTCTCCAGCTTATACATTTGGATGAAAGGTCATACGCTTTTATTGGCTGTGTTAGCCTCATTTGACAAAGCAACACTCTGCTTTGAGAGCAGAGCTATAATTCTAGCTAGCAGGCCTTACGTGACACAGATGTGAACAGTTCTACCACCTCCCCCAAAAAATTCCTGCATGCTTTTTCCTTCCTGACTTCTATTTACAGGAGAAGGAGGCAGAAAGGACAGGGAAAGGAGAATGCAAAGCTTAGGCATGATGGTTAGTCTAGGTCAGCAATCTCTGGGCACCCACTCTATGACCCAGGCATAGAGTTGGGAGCATTTTCTAGCTTCTTTCCATACCTTTCCATCCTGTCTCCCTTCAGGACATTACTGAGTGTGCTGCCTCTTCAGAAATGCTGACTTAACTCACTTTCACAGCAGCCTGTGACCTACATGCTAATTCACACCTCAGTTTAAATCCAGCTGGCAAACCTTCCAAGGGCATCATAGGTTCAAGATACTACTCTAAGACCTGTTTACATGACAGTCTAATGGGCTTCTGTTTTTTCCAGGAGCTTTCTGTTAGTCATGTGGAAAGGTAAGTAGAATTATAGCATTTCTAGACGCTAAAGTAAAAGGTGTGAAAGGGAAGGCATGCCTGAAAGCGGTGGGAGATCATCATATAGCATG